GATGTATTCTTGAACGCTTTGGGATAGAAGATCAATAACAATCCTTTCATCCCTTCATCCCACTCAGGTGAAGCTCAACAATTCCTCCCTGGAGCAGTAATTTAAGGCAACAGTTGCAAAGTGTGTAACAGCACCGTGACTGAGAGGAGTCCATTTATGACAGGAGACTAGAGGCCTCTCTGCTGAAAGATCCAATTTTCTGCTTGACATTTGCTCCTCTTTAAAAAAAGAATTTACTTTTCTTTCCAACCAGCAAAGAAATAGGACACTGGTCAGCAATTCACAGGACAGTCATTAAAGTATCACCCCCTTCCAAAAAGAGGAGGAGGAGGAGGAGGAGGAGGAGGAGGCGGCGGCGGCGGCACATCTTCAAAATGATTTGCTCACTTTCAGTGGAAATGCAATATATCTTAACCACAATGACCGGTTGATCTGTATGCTCACTCCCTGCTGTATAGGTGCTGCTAACTGGAGATGGGCCACATTTTATCTTTACAATGGACTTTCACTAGATAAACATCAGACAGAAGAAGGATGTACACCTTGTAGCTTAAGAGTCACATTCATCCTGCCCCCAGCAAAGTCTTGAATGCGTACCCTAAATGCCTTTCAAAAATTGCAATCAATAGCAATTTTTAATGGGATGGGGAAAAATATTGAATACGTGGGAAGGGATGAAAGAGCCACCAGGAGATGGTGAGTCCTAATCCTGCCTTAGGCACAAAGCCAGCTGGGTGACTTTGGCCTCTCTCAGCCCTAGAAAGAAGGCAATGGCAAGCCACTTCTGAAAAACATTGCCAAGAAAGCTTCAGAGATTTGTCCAGGTATTTGTCAGGACTCAAGACTGACTTGAAAGCACAAAATAAAATAAAAACCCTGAAATTAAATTAAATCTCAGTGTGAAAGAATTCTGACCCTGTAACATCTTTCCCAGCTCAATCATTTACAGGTCTCTGTTTGGAACAGGTTGTGAACCTCTGAAATAAAGGATGAATTCAAAAAGTACTGTTCTGTGTACACTGGGACTCAAAGCCACCACTCCACTTGGAACCCTCTACAAATAGGCCAGTTGATTCCATTGTATGTCCTAGGAAAAACACCGGTGTGGAAACACTTTCTGGACATCTTGTCTGGTTTTCTTGACAATACTTGTAATTTCAGAGTACTATATATAAAAGGAAACAGAGACATCTAAGTTACTTTTTAGTATTGGGGGGAAAAATCTCAAAATAATCACCCAAACTGATTTAAAATACAATTGCTTAATTATTTTGCATGGCTATTCCTTGGAGCCTCTTTATTAAGAGATGGTGAGTCTTCAACAGTCAGATCCCATAACGAGGTGCATATTTTATGCACTCAGCTGCCCCAATCTATTGCCCATAAAGTTATTCTAACTACATTGTCATTCTCATAAATACCATATTGGCATTTGCCTATTGTCTTCCACATTGCTGGAGCCTATGGATCTTGGCACCAGACATTGCTTAATGAACAATTGCTTCACAAATCTCTGATCAGCAGCCAATTGCTAAAATCCTGACAGATAGGCCAGGCGCACGCTTCCCTGAGAAGAACCAGTGTTCCAAGGAGTCTATCTAAACATAAGTTGACCTAGATGTTGGGATACCTTCACTCTGGGCCCCAGCAGATATATTGCATTAGCCCTCCAACATCTAAGCATGTTGTGCTGAACTCAGATTTATTTGGTCAGAAGTGACATAGTTTCTTCTATGTTTATTGTGGGGATAAATACATATAGTTCAACATTTTACTGCTGCAACTGAAAATTATAAAGTGGGAGCTTTTATGTCGAGCTTTTCTTCTCTCTTAATGGTTCTTCTCCTGGTAGTATACTATTTCAGGCTGGGGGAGGGTACATTATCTTTGACTCTCAGAGGACCAGTTGATTTTGAGCAATGAAAATATTTACTTTGTATGAAAAATTAATGTAGGATAGATTCCATTTGGAAATATATCAACAAAAGGTAAATAGAAAATTTCCTTCAGCTCCTGGTCACCTCATGGACATGTCCATATGGTTTTTGGGGCAACAGTACAGAAGTTCTTTGCACTGTCCTCCTTCCAGAATGTTTTTCAACTTCCCAGTCTAGTCTACAAGTCTGTGATTCCTCAGTGGTCTCCCATCCAAGTATTAACCAGGATCAATCCTGCTTAGTTTCTGAGCCCAGACAAAATCAGATATGAGATATGAGATATGCTGAGATACATCAGCAAAGTTCCATGCTTATTTATAGAATGATCATTTACCATTTCCTCTTTTCTTCATGTACTGGTTGTCTCCTTTCCTTTCTTTCCTCTTTATCAAATGTCCCCCTTCTTATCCCTGCCTCAAGGTTTTGTTAGTTTTCTGTGTGCCTTCCTTATAAAGAAGTATCCATTTAACCCTTTCTTGCATTCCTCAAAAGCAACAATCAACCATTTCATCATACCTATTATGAATATATCATAGCATCAGCTTTACTATGAAAAGGTGCACTTATTTGTTTATCTCTAATCTACTTACATCTTTCAGCAGAATCCAAGCATTCTGGATAATAGCAACATATCCACACACTGGGCAGAATGAGATTATTCCTGACATAAGCATGACCTCCCACCAATATAAAAAGGTTGCTCACTCTAGGTTATACACTGATTTATAGCCATGCATCTTTAGTGTACATCTGCAGAATCCTCTGCCTCAGATTATAACCTTCATTTTCCCTGTATGAGAACATGAAACAAGTCACCCCAATTAATAGCAAGACATTATACCTCATCCTCCAATATGGCATGCTTTCAGGGACCTGTCTCATGGTATTTGTGTAAAAATTATTTGGGAATATGTGTCATGCTCTGAATTACTCTTTCACTCTGTCTTAACCAAAAGTAAAGTGTCATCCATGAAATTTCTACATTGATCTATTTTTCTCCATCCATCCTGTCCATTATGCCGGCATGGCCGTTAGAAGATAACCACGTATCGGCACATCTGGTGGTGTTTCCAGGAAATCTGTAGAATTATTCATCAAACCATGTGAGAGGAAATGCATGAGTGGATCCCCCACAAATGTGGGGGCCTGATGTGTGAACACTGAACAAAGCTGTGCTGCAACCTGAAGGTTTTCCAATTAATAATTTTCCAATTATTAATTCATACACCATTTTAATGCCTAGATATGATTCCTCAAGCTATGCGAGAGAAATGGATCTATTAAACAGAAATATCCAGAGCTTTAACATGATGCCCTTTTTTTCAGTTCAATGTCCCTTCAAGGGAATTTTCACTAAACTGGAAAAAAAATTGGAAAAAATTCTGAGGGCATGATCTGTTTAGCATGGAACCCAGATTGACTTGGAAACGGGGATTTTCCTTTATAGTTTTTTAATGATTGGCCATGTAGCAGTGAACTTCAGCATGAGGTTGTGATTAGATTGCCTTTGTGGGTACTCTATCATGAATTATAATTTATGATATCATATATTATGAACCATCTCTTTCTAGGCTCCTGTTAGATTACCAGTCATTTTGGAAAAGAACATATTTGGCCAAATGCAGATATAGATATAGATATTCATTCCAAAACTGGAAGCAATGTATAGGCTAATGTATGTTTCTTCCTTTCTCTCCTTTGTATTCAGATTACCTTAGTAACACGTTGATAAACCCTATTAAAAAGAATTATGAGAGGGAGGAATGAAATATTTGCCCCCTTTGAATGACATTACTTCATTCTACAAAGCAATCACATGACTGTTGTAACTATTATCACCAGGTAAACATGGCAGCAGACCAAACCAGATCTTCTAGTCTCAGCAACCAGGGTTGCCAGGTAGCACACAAACCTTCTTGCCTCATAATAGCTCTGAAACTATGAAAGGACATGTCACTACAAACTTTCCTAGCTCTCTTCTTTTTTGAGTGTTTCCTGGAGCATGAAGAGCTCGTGTTTGACAGCTCAGCAACTCAGCAGAAACCAGGACTCAGCATAAGGGGAAATAGTGGAGGGAACACAAAGCAATCTGAGCTGCCTTTGATTTGTCAGTTGGACAGTCTGTTTTCCCTTTTTGTTGCAGAAAAGAAAACTCCTATGGAGGTCTAACAATATAGAACCATCATTTGCTAGGAGCAGGGCAATATATTCAAAATAGCTTGCCTGGTTCTCCTGGTGAGATAACAAGCTTGTCATGGACCCTATATACTCTCATGAGGTTCAGCAAATATCTGAAGTAGGCCTAGAATTGTTAAGAGGAAGAGTTTCAAGTTGACTTCCAATGAGACCTTAACCTGCATTGAACCTGAGTAATTCCAAAAATATGTATTTAAAAAGTGAAATATTAAAGTTTCGATTAAAGATGGTAAATTTGCTGACCTCTGCCCTATGTAGTATGTGCATCACTGCAGCTTATTCAGTGAAGAACAATCTAGATAGGTGTAGATCCACTAGCCACTTGTTCCTCTTTAACAGAAAGAAGTAAAAGAAAAGTTCATGTCTCTGCGGAACATTTTGTGGCAGCAGAGTCTATCTGCATTCTGGGTTGTCTTCTGGTCTTGTTTTTTTTCAAACTAATTTCTTATTCAGTCCTTGTTTTCTCTCTGATCCTGATTGGTTTTTGGTGTTGACTGCTGGTTCCCATCTCTTAACTCACTCCAAATCAAATGACCATTGATCAGGCCTGACAAACTGGAACTATGAGGCATGGAGGTCAATGGGGTGCTTGTTAAATCTAAACTAACCAAGTTTAGATTTAGCCTTGAACACTATTCACACGCTTGGAAATCTGACATTGTAAATGTCAATATCTAAAAATCTATGTATTAAAGCTCTTTGAGATCCCATGAACTACAGATATAAGCCTGCTTGGTTTGAGAATAATGTTGTGTTCATCTGACAAACTCATACATTGTTAACTTGACTATGATTTAATTAGCTCAATTTTCAGGTTAATTAAACCACACAAGACATTGATCTACAAACAAAGTACATGGGCAGGGTTCACTCAGATCACAAGGCTAAAATGTACTTAGCTAGTTTGTGGTTTGGTGTGTTGTACAAACAGAGCCTGAATGTTAAATCTTGTCCAAGAATCCAAATACAAGCCAAAGGACGGCAAGAGCCTCAGAACAGCAAAGTACTTCCTTAAACGCTCAGTTTTCAGCTCCAGTAGAAACCCATTTCACAGAAGGCAAGCTAGTGACCCCCCCCCCAAAATTGATGTGCTTAAGATCCTCCATACAAGACTGAGCCACAAAACACAAACTCTGTTTTGAGCAGATCTCCTTCTCGTGCAGAATCACCCCTCCCCACCTCTCTCACCCCACATTCCCAGCATACAAATTGCATGAGCCAAGCACTCATTTCCCACCCACAAACTCTGTCACGCACATATACATACTAACTCCTGGAGAGAAAACACACCCAACACTCGAAAGACACACCCAGATCCTCTCCTGGCTTTCTCCCTTTCCTTATTAGTTGCCTTGCTCGCTTCCCCATTCCCTACCCGTCCCAGTATTGGTTTCCCTGCTTCCTCCACCACATGTGTCAGATCATTCCAAATCTCTCCCTCAATTATCCTAATGCCACACTCAACCCTACATCTTTACCAGGCAGTTACAATGGAGCCAGTTCTTTCCTCCTTTTCGATTTAGGATACAATGGTACTTCCAGGGTTAAGGAAACCATGGTTGAGATCCTTGGGGGGGGGCACCTTCTGAAGCTCTGCAATGTGTAAGCAATTCAGCATCCCTCAGAGCATCCACTGTCTTCCTGCCACTCTTCATTTCTCTTGGACCTCTGAAGAAAAGATATCTCATTGTTGGTAGTCAAGCATTCTGTGCCAGTCATCATCATCAGGTATCAGAAATTCATCTGCAGGCAAAGGGAAAGTGCCTCGGAGTATGACCTTATCTATGCCTACTCTAGGTATCCCAGTATGGTGGGTGAAAGGATCATGTGGCATTCTTCCTTCAGTGTGAAAAAAGATGGGATCACAGTCACAATAGCAGGAATCAAATGGTGCAGACAGACTCAGTGGGCTGGATACTCCCCCAGGAACAGCACCTGCTACTACCCTTTCTGTGCATCCAGTGATCAACAGATGGGTTGTGTCCACACCGCAGAACTAAACAGGTCAATTAAAGTTGCTAAGTTTTGTTACTGAACACGTGACTTAGGTGGTAGTTCTTTTGTGGCTTAGCATGTTGTCTAAACCCAACATTTATGGTTCAATGTCCTGTGCAGACCCAGAATCTAGGTTCACTTAATAACCAGGTTAAACATGTTACATGACCACACTCATTCAGTAACATTAATTGTACTGAAACTTCCAAATGGATGATATGAATTGTGGTACATTTCTACATAGGCCGGACACTTTTGTATACAGACATCAGATACTGAAAAGGCAGGATTATACCATAGCCACTCTTTTCCCCTGCTTGTGTTATAGAATATATGGGATTTTATACACAGTAACTGTCCTACCAAACAAGCCAGGAGCACAATCAATCCTTTTCTAGCTACTTTAATGATTAGAAGATATTCTACAAGCATACACACTTCCATTCACATGCACATAACGTACCTACCAAAAAGAAGAAAGAGAACACCCTTCTTCTCTGTTGTCTACGTCCAGACATTGCACCAGAGATGCAGCGTTTTGTAATGTACATCTAGAAAAGAAAGTGGGATTGAGAAGAACTCCTGAAGAATTGAGAAAAAAAGATTCCATTCTAAGTGAAAAATAGATACTGTTGTTTTATGCCAGGGTGAAAGGGGAACTAAGCAAAATAGCTTTTCTCTCAGCCAATTAATACAATTTCAACATAATAAGCTTGGACATGTCCCTGTGTTTCTGTGATGCTCCTTCTGATTTCTTTCAGCCAAATTGTTTCATCATGCTGCAAAGAAACTTTTTTTTCCCCATGGCAGCATTGCAATGTTAATTTTATCTTCCTGACATGTACATAAATCTGTCTCTTAAAATTTCTATGAACACAGATCTCATTGGCAGTCATGTGTAGGAGGGGGAGAAAGGTTGTAAATTGTAGGAATCCTAACCTTGTTTTGAGACTCGCAATAATTGTTAGCGTCTTTGGAAGTCATGTTGATGATCAAGCAGCCCGTTGCTAATGAACTGCTGTTATAATCAGATAGTATAGTCCCCCGTGCTTGTTTTGAAGAGGCAGAAGTCTTGGGGTGGCCTTAATAACAGTTTGATTTTTCTCACTCCCGTTACTGAATCTTGACTCTGGGTTACAATGAAATGTTCTTGGCTGGGGAGCCAATCAGAAAACAGCTTATGAATAAAAAGTCAGTGTGAGAAAAGTCAATCAGATTTAGGGATGAGGCAGTTTTCTATGCATGGATTTCTTAATGCTCAGGAGCACGGTTAGCAATCCCCCAAGCTTGACATAGGATCTCCAGCGCTGCTCAAAAGATTTCGGCTGAACTGTGAATTTTAATGGAACAGAATGGGGAAATGATCAAATACATGGGGGAAAGTCATGTCTTCCTCAACGTATTTAATTTAATGGACATTCAATTATATCAAGTTTTGATTTTGTCCTGTCCTCATCTGTTTTTTTTATAATATGGCTTCTGGCCTGCTCTCAGAGGACAGGGTGAGTCTTCTTCCCTCTCAAAGGTTGTATGCCATTCTTTTAGACCCTAAAACAAGCAAGGAGGTAGATCTTTCATCAGAACTATACCCTTCTGTGTAAGGACACCCAAACTTTCAAGGTCCACAAAACCTTTCCTTGGGTGGTGCTCTGTGAAACATGAAAGGAAAAGTTTGTTGCTTATTTTGTATCCTGGAGTCAGGAAAGTATCCCTACCAATTAGGGTTTTTGTTTCTCTTAAAATAGAATATTTGGCATAGCAGTAAATGTGAATACCTGTAGGACCCAGAATTTGAGTTAGCCTTTTCTAGGTTGGGTTCACACTTCCTAAGTGTTCACACAACTTAGCTAGTTCAGTTAAAGACCTAGCAAATGTATTTGCACCAGATGCAAATCTTGGTTGTGCTAATCCTGATTAGGGTTTTTGTGGCTTAACGGGTTCTGCAAATCCAACCCATTTTGGTTAGTTCATGTTTTAATGTATTAAATTCAGACAACGGGTTACCTGAGGAAGATTAAGTGTGCTGTGTAAATGAAGTGACTTGAGATCCCAGAAATACCTGTTGATTTTATTGCTCTGGTTTATACAAGGACGTAACAAATATTAGCAAATCCAGGCACTTGAATCCATGGGCCAAAGCAGACATGTCACTTACAGTTCTGTGAATATTTTTAAAACAGTAAAGAGCAGACACAAAGGTCAGTGGGACCATGGCATGCAGTAAAGTAGTGTAGCGATTAACCTTTCCTTTTCCTCTCTCTGTATTCTTGCCAAAAGATGATGCTGCAAACTCCTGGTAGTCTACAGAGCAGAGCAGGGTGTGAGGTCAGCATTGTGGAGGACACACTGAAGCCCACATCCCAAGAGAAGCTCTTGGTTTACCCCAAGCCCCCTCGGTCTCCTCCTCCTCGTTGTTTGCTGCCCGTTGTCATCCTGGAGACTCCCATTGTTGCCATATTGCTGCTACCTCATTCTCTTTCCCAGCAAAGGCATCTTTCACAGGGAGTCCTCAAAGCAAAGAATTGTGATGAGGAAGTCAAGGAGAAAAAGTGGAGCTGATGCCCAGTTCACTGCCTTATTGGGGAACTCCTCAGAATTAAACGCCGAGATAAATTATGGGAGTCTGTGTAACAGGGTGTTTTCAGCCTTTCTCTGAAGGGTCCTTAGAATGAGGTCCCCAGGAGAGAAGCTGCTCTACAGAATGACACATCCATTCCAATGCCTCAGTTTGGCCAGTAATCCAAAAATCACTTATAGCATCTTCTATCCATCACTGAAGCAACACTGTATAACACCCATTTTCATTGCCATTATATCAATGATTGGATGACTCTGAGATAGACTATAATGAGGAGCAGGAAAATGCTTTCTGATAAGTGAGGAATTGTGGAGACCATCTGCTTGAGACAGAGAGCTGGGACAACAGTGGCAAGGCCAGATCCTGCTCCATCACCCACCTCAGTCTGCTCAGAAAATTAACTTTGCCTCATAAGCCACATGAGAAGCAAGAGCAGCACTTGCTTTGTCCTCTCTTGGACAACAGTGCAGTTTGGATCCAAGGACAAAAGAATAATGAATAGACAGCATCTAGAAGGTGTGTCCACTCAGGAAGGGTGTCTCCACATTTTTCCCAAGGGAGTTTCAAACCCTGGAGAGATATTGCCTTCCTAACAGCTGACCAGGTGATGGGGTTGCACTGCGTAGCCTCTTCCCATGCCTGCCAGCATTTAGGTACCCTACTTTTAAACATGGGTTTAGCATTCTTCTGAAAGAATGCTAAACCTATATTTGAACATAGCCCTCCTAGCAACTGATGGATGATAGGGCTGTGCTCAGAAGCAGGGGCCTTTCTCCTGCTGCATCTCTCCACCTACCCACTATCATCTATTAGTTAGGATAAAGTCTCTTTCAAAGCCAAATCTGGCAGGCATATATTCAAAAAAAGAAGCCCTGTTCGAAGGAATTAAACTCACTCATTACCCACGAGGAGGACAGTGCACAAAGGGAGCAAACTAGTGATCAAAGGAAGACAGAGAGCTGTGGCTGCTGGAACATGTTTGAGCAACGGTGAGATGCAAGTTAGGAAAGAGCTCCCATATAGAAACATGCATCTTGAGTTCTCAGAGAAGCAGAAGCATTACGTCAGTGGCAGCAGAGAGCTTCCATGTTATGGAATAAATTGTAACGTCGTACAAACACGTGAGTTAGAAATATTTAAGTTTTGCAATGAACTGAAGTAATATTTTTCTGGCTGCACCTTAGTGGAACTTTGTGCACAAATCGTCCCCCTGCTTCTCAGTTTTGTGACAAATGATGGCTGGATTCTCACAATACTATGCTGAATCTAGTTATTTACTTAACTCATTTCTTGGTTTTGCATAACATGCAGAACCATATACACTATCTTCACAATGTACTAAGCCACAAAAATTAACCAAGTTTAGAACTAACTTGTATTATTCATTTGGATAACGTGTTGTGTGAACACAGCCAATGCCTTCACAGGTCTCTAGAGATTAAGTCACTGTCACTCCTTTCCTGTGACACATTATCACTTTGTCAGTGAAGGTTGATGTCTACATTAAGCGGTCATCTTGCTGTTCAAGGCAGTTCTTTGTATTTCCTCCGTCTGCTGATTTCTGGGTGTGTTGCATTTTGGATAGTAAAACCCATGAGGACAGAGAATAGGCTTCCAGTATAGTGCAATACACACACACACACACACACCTCTGTTGATGTCTATGTGACTACATATGTATATGTAAGTGCTGATATGGGTATGCCTGTCTCTCTCCCCTGCTGCCACCTGCCTAAGCTAAATCCTGAAGTTGGCATAATGTTTAACTTGATTACTGAAATAACTTTTTTTTTTTTTGAGTCTGTACAATATTTGAACCACAAATGAACCAAATGGGCTGGCTTCACCCAAACTGCTAAAACCACAAAGCTCTAACCAAAGTTAGCAATACCCAAGCTTAGCAACGTAATGCAATTACACCTGCGTTAACTAATCTGGTTAAGTGTGTTGTATAATCACAGCGGTTGGC